CATTTTACCTTAATATTCCTGACTTCCTTCATCTGCAATAAAGCATCCATCTGCCTTTTATTTTACAGGCAATTAGCAAGTCACCTTTTCAGACTTTCTCCACATTTTCTGTGGAATGGAGGCCGGGATGAGAGAGAGAGCTGTTTTATGGGCTCAGCTCGCCGGGAGAGGGGATTTATCGGTAGCCTTTGAGGGACCCTCACTCATTAATGGGTTTTATTGATTCGGGGGCTTTTTAACCCTTAGCAATAATACAGGTGTCCCCTACAGGGCAGTTGGAGGGGCCCGGCCTCCAAGAGGAACTGGAGGGGAGGGACGGACTCTCACCCAGGCATGGAGCTCATGGCCGCACACCCCGGAGTGAGCCTGGCCCCGCTTTTGTGGAAAGCTTGGGGTTTGGGTGGGATGGGGCTCTGCCCTGGGGCCCTGGGGTCCCAAGGCCTCTCTGGGGCGTGCTCTCCTCCACGGCAAATGCAGGCGTCCTCTGGCCTTGCCCTGCCCTGCGGCTTCCAGAACTTTCTGCGGCCTTCTATCTGGCCTTTCCTCACAGGCCCGGCCTGGAGCTGGGCCCTCCTGTCAGGCCAGGAGTCTGAACTGGGGGCCGGGGTCACAGACCCTGGGGGAGTACAGCCCTCCTGTCACTGGACACTGGACACCATTGCAGTGTTGGGGCTCAGTCGAAGCCAAGCACCCCGTGGGGGTCCCTGGTGGCCAGAGGACAAGGGGTGAGATGCAGTGGAGCCCAGGCCCCCACATCGGGAGTCCTGCCCCCCAGGACTCCTTGGGCCTAGCCAGGCCCCACAGGCCACCTGAGAAGCCACCCGGCTGCCTAATGTGGGGACTCGGCCTTCGCTCAGCTCCATGTCCAACCCCAACAGTGCTGCCCTGAGCCTGCCCCACCCTGTCCCCTCGACACTCGCCAGGCAGCCCCCTCGTCCCAAGAGCGCCTGGGATGGGTATCATGGCTCCCATTTCACAGCGGGGAGACTGAAGCACTAGGAGACCCGCCCTTTGCTCGGGCCTCAGGGCTGGCAAGTGGCAGGGCCAGACTTCAGATCCAAGAAGTAGCCAGAGCTGTGCTATTTGTTATTGTTTTTGACACAGGGTCTTGCTATGGAGCCCAGGCTGTTCTTGAACTGGTGGTGATCCTCTTGCCTCGGCCTCCAGAGTGCTGGGATGACAGGTGTGCCCCCAACGCCCTGCTCAGAGTTGTGCTCTTAACCTCTGCACTCTGTGCCCTCTCCCTAAAGGGTCCATGAGCTTGTCCTGTCCTGGAAGGGCCATCTGCCTGCAAGGCCGCCACGCACCTCCAGGAAGTCCCAGGACTCTGCGGATAAGAAGCTATGGAGGCCAGGGGAGGCAGCGGCGTCCCTGCCAGGGCTGGGCCAGCAGGAGGACTGCAGCAGAGCCATCGCAGGCCTCAAAGCCCAGCTCTGATGCCCTCTGGCGGCGGCATCACTGATGAATGGCCACTGCGCTCCGTCCCACAGCTCTGGGTCGGGAAGCTGTGACCACGGCCTCCTCCCTTGAGCCCACCTGGCTACTTGCCCCGGACCTGGTCCTTGCCTGAGACCCCGCAGAGGATGAAAGTGTCCCCCAGCCCTGCATCCCTGAGCCCCACTCCCTGGGGGCCAGGCCTGGAACCCCTCTCTGCGCCTTCCGGGGTCAGGGCCTTCCTGCAGGGCTCCGGACACTGCCGGGGTGAGCACAGACCTCAGTGACTGGTGACCCTGGCAGAAGCTGGGCACAGGTGTCGGCCTCCTCATCGTGGCCCCACTGGCCACAGCTGTGGCTGCTGTTGATGCCACCCGGCCACAGACAGGGATCCCAGCCCCCCACCGCCGTGCCAGGCGTCCTCGGCACCAGGGCCGGGTGCCCTCATCCCCACGCTGCTCTGCCCCAGCCCTCGCCGCCCAGGAAGCCTGCAGGTGGGCTCCCCGTCTCCACGCCTTCCTGTGCTCAGCCCCCTCCTGTGAGGGCCCCTGGCCCAGGGACTCCCCACCAGCTGCCCAGGGTGCGTTTGCCCATGGAAAAGCTGCTTCATCTGCTGCAAAGGCTCCTGGTCTGCAGTGAGGCTGGTGGGGAGAGGCGTCCACGCCTGGACCAGCCAGGCTGGCAGGGCCCACAGGGAGCAGGGAGTCGGCAGCTGCTCTGCCCCCAGTGTGGACCCAGCTCCGGCTACTGGGCAGTCGGTATCTGTCCACAGCCCCCGGACTGTCCATCTCCCTACACCCACGGCGACAAGCTGGGTGTTTGTTGCATCCACGCAGCCCTACGTAGGTCCCAGCATTGCTGGCATGGCCATGCAGCCTGTGGGCTGAGAGGTTTGGGTTCTCACCCGAGGCCACCCAGCCCGGAAGTGGCCCCTTAAAGTTCAAACTCAGGCTCACAAGATGCCAGGTCCTGGTCCATCCTGCACACAGCTGCTCCTGCTCCTGGCACACAGTCGGCACTGGGTGGTAATGGTCTGAGGGCAGAACCGGCCCCGGTTTAGTCCAGGCGCACAACTCCAGTGGCTGCCAGAGGCCTGAAGGACCCCACCATGGTCTGATCTCCAGGCCCTGGCCCGGGGCTCTGGATCTCAATGCCTGGCCAGTTGGGGGCCTCTGGAGGCCAGGTTCACAGGAGCCTGAAAACTAGCAGGCGCTGCCGGGTGATCTGTGGGGGAGGCAGCTCCGCGGTTGTGTCAGGTAGAGGAGCACACCGGGGAGCAGAGGACTCTCCTGGGGCCTCTCCAGCGGGGCCTCTGCCCTGTCCCCACCTCCCGGCACCTCTGCCCCGACCACCCCAGGAAAGAGGACTGGGCCTAGAGGGTCCCTCTAGCTCCCAGGCTCCCTGTGGCCCCCTGGCACCCAGCCCTGAGCCCTCCCAGCTCCTCGGGCCACCGGCACTGCGTTGTGCTGTAGGAAGAACAGGGCACGAGCAGCGGGCCCCATTCTGGGCTTCCCGGGCCCATGTGGTCCTGAGCAGTGTCCCCCCCGCTCTGCCAGGGAAGGCGACTGCACAGGCTTGAAGCGGGGACAGCGGCCCAGCCACTGGGCTCCACGCAGCTCCCTCCCGCCCACAGCTCAGAGCAGGGCGTGTGGGGAGAACCGGCAACCGGGAGGGGTTCCCACCCTCCTGCGTGTCCAGGAGATGCCGCCTCAACCTGGCCGGGCAGGCCTCTGCAGTTCTGAGGGCCACCACCAGATGGCACCACAGACTCGCCCAGCGCCCAGGGCTGCGAGGTCCAAGGGGCTCGGGCCTCCGCTTCCCCTCCCTCCCCTCTCCTCTCCCCTCCCCTCTCTCCCCAGAGGGGTCAGCTCTGGGGTCCGCGCAGCCAGGGTGTGAGAGGCGTGTGAGGCACCCAGTGTCTCGGCAGCACCCAGTGCCAGAGGCCAGGGGTAGTGTGTGCACACGTGTGTGCAAAGACATGCGGGTGTGTAGGCATCAGGCCTCTCCATGCAGCCACCTGTGGACTGGGATGGCGAAGAGAACCCGAGTGTGTGCACAAGAGCGTGCGTCCAGTGTGTACGGGCGGTGTCCATCTGTGTGCACAGTGTCTGTGCATCGGTGTGCGTGGGGCCCTTGTGTTTTCCATGTACCTGCGTTGTTGGGAGTGCCTGGGGGACCTTCTCTGTGCCAGTGTGTGTGTGTGTGTGTGTGCGTGTGTGTGTGTGCATGCGTGCGCATGTGTGCACGACTGTGCGTGTGTTGGCCCTGTGTGTGGAGAGCAGGCACGCTCAGGAGCATGTCTGAGAGCATTTGTCACAGACGCACGCTCGTGCGGCCCTCGGGCAGAGGTTGTGCGTCTTCAGCTGTAACAAGCACGGGGGGCCTGCGCACCGGGCAGCCACACTCTCAGGAGTACCTGTGTTTGGGAGTGCCTGGGGGACCTTCTCTGTGCCAGTGTGTGTGTGTGTGTGTGTGCGTGTGTGTGTGTGCATGCGTGCGCATGTGTGCACGACTGTGCGTGTGTTGGCCCTGTGTGTGGAGAGCAGGCACGCTCAGGAGCATGTCTGAGAGCATTTGTCACAGACGCACGCTCGTGCGGCCCTCGGGCAGAGGTTGTGCGTCTTCAGCTGTAACAAGCACGGGGGGCCTGCGCACCGGGCAGCCACACTCTCAGGAGCTCTGCTGCTCTGGGAGTCATGGGCCCTCGAGGAATGGTTTCCTCTGGGGCCTGAGCCCCGCCCTGAGGCCTGCTCCCCATCATTGCCAGGGGCTGCGTGCCAATGTGGGGCTCCAGGGGGAGAGTGGGGAGCAGGAAGCCCAGTTTCAGCCCCTGCTGGCTGTGCGACCTTGGACCACGCCCTGGCTGCCCAGATTTCTCTCCGGCCCAAGCGTCCCCACACAGCCGAGCCTCCTTACTGTGCACTGTGCGCTCAGTGGATGCTGGAGGGTGGGTGCAGGAGCTGGGGTCCTCCACCCTCATTCCCTGGCCAAAACAGAAGCACGAGAAGGTTAGGCATCTCCTCCCTCCTGGGCTCCCCCTTTCCCTGACACTGTGGAGGTGACAGAGGCCAGGGAGAGCGGCAGGGAAGGCGGAGAGACTGCCCAGCAGCCTGCAGAGGGGCAGCTGGGGCCAAGGTCCCCGGAGGCCTCAGGCCCATCACCGAGAGACCAGGCCAGGCCCTGAGTGCTGCTCTGGGACACTGCGTGGGGCGTGCTGAGGGCAGCTCGGACCCAGCTCAGACCCGCAGCTGGTCCCATCCTGATGAGGCCCCGGCCCCTCCCTTTCCCGGCCACCAGCCTGGCAAAGCAAACTGAAGGATCCAAGGGCTCCCCAGGGGAGGGAGAGCTGAGGGGGACAGGGACAGGGACCCGCAGGCCTTTCCCCCACACTGTGCAGGAGTCACCGGGGACCCTCCCAGTCGGCCGTAACTCGCCAGCCCGGCCACTGCACAGCCACTCTCCGTTTTTAAAAATACTGCTGGGTAAACAGAGGGGAGCAGAGCGGTCCCCTCACCCCATAAATCCGCTCTGCCGTCCTGCTCCCTTAAAGGTGGCTTCCCCCAAATATGGCCCTGCCGCCTCCACCACAGGGGAGCCAGGCCTGCCAGGTCCTGCAGACGTGGCGCCCCCACCGGCACTTCCGGCAGGCCTCACCTTCTGCCTTCCCCTCCCCTTGCACCACCAGTGTCAAGCCAGTCAGAGAAGAAACGGAGGGAACGCCTTTTAAGTGTGAGCTTCAGATCAACCGCAAATGTCGGGTTCCAAGGGTGCTCCAGAGCAGAGGGTGTTGTGGCACCGGCTCCCAGCATCCCTTGCAGCTCCACACGGCCTAGGTGCGGGTCAGTGAGCCCCTCTGTCCTTCCTGCCACCCCTGCTCCCCACATCCTGCTGCAGGGGTTGCCTGTGAGACAGCTCATCCGCAGGCCCTCGCCTGGAGCCGGGCCCGGGCTGCATCCTCTGCTCCCTCCTCTGCCAGGGACCCGTCACTGGGGCCCCAGGGCTGGCCAGCAGTGCAGGGACCCCGGGGCTCAAAGCCTGGGGGGGCACCTGCCCGGGCCTGCCTGGCTCTCAGGGGAAGGGGCCCTGCCCAGTGAGTGGTGGCCAGGGCCCCACCTGTCCTCTTGGAGCCCTGAATCATCTCCCAGGCCCTCGGAGCAGCCTGGATGCACCCTGTCTAGTGCGGTCAGTGTCACCACCGCACACTGGTCTGGGACCAGAGCCCCCGGTCACTGCCCCTGGGGGAAGGAGGTTCATGCCTGTTTTGCAGGTGAGAAAAGAGGGACCCGTGGAGTGGGATGCGAGTGGCCCAAGCTGTGGCCCCCGTCACGTGGCCATGGAAGGTGGGGCGGGTCAGGGAGCAGGAGTCACGACTGTCACCGGCCACTCCCCATGGCAAACTCCAGCCTCCATGCTGTCCCCAGAAGGCGGCACCAGACGGGCACTGTCTGTGCGTTTGGCTGCCGGGGCCCTGGCAAGGGCGGCTTCCCCAGGAGCGCCACGCTGCCCTCCTGATCCCACTGCCCCAGACATGGCAGGCACTGAGGCACGTCCACCACAGGCAGGGCAGACGGCAGAAACCCACCCGTTTCTGTGTGGCCCCAGGACCCCCAACTCTGGCTTTTCCTTCCTCCTCCTGCCCCCAGCATTGACAGGGCAGGGTCTTTGCCACCCTCAGCCTCCAGCTTCTCTGCACGCAGCCTGCCCAGCTGGCTCTGACCCTGCACAGGCCCCCAGGGACCCCCGGCTCTCGAGGTCACAGGGCCAGGTGTGGGTACCTCTGACAAATGGGCTGCCAGCGGAGCTGTTTTCCTGGGCTCAGGAGGGGGCCGTCAGGAAGATGGAGAGGCCGGCCGGGTGCCTCCCTGGGGCTGACAGACATAGGCAGCTGTGGGGCGCCGGGTGCCAGGGCAGGGTCTGCGCACAGTGCACCTCTCTTCGCCCGCCCCCTGACCTTGGGCTCCCCACTCGCCCCTCCTCTGTGATTCTTAGTGCGCAGTCACGTGTCCCAGCCTCAGTTTCCTCCCCGCGCAGTGTAGACACTACCCCCACTTTACCCCAAGCAAGAACTGTGGGGGCGGCACGGAGGCCTGGACCCGGCTGAGACCACTGCCCGGTCACTGCACCACAACAGCCTGCGTGCTCACGCACCCTCCACAGCACCTCTGCACCTTGGGGTCGTCTTGCTGGAGCTTTGGGCTCCTGCGAGCCCTGGTATCCTTGTGACAGCCAGCCAAGAGCCCACTGTGAGGCCCCGGTCCTGCCACCCAGGGCTGGGAAATGTGGGGTGGAGAGGAATCGGGTGCTGTGGGTGTGGACCACATCTTGGAAGGCAATGGTGACCCCAGGGTGGCCAGGAGGCAGGGACTGCGGCCACCGGACACTGAGATGGCCTTGGCCACAATACTCCTGTGGCCGTGTGCCAAGGATGGTCCTTAGGAGAATCTCAGGGGACCAAGGAGCCCCACATTCCTGTCCCCACACCCTGGGGGGGCCAAGGAGGGAAACAGCAGGGATTGGGGACAGGGAGCTGAGGGGCGAGGCCCAGAGAAACTCGGGGCCTCCCTGACAAGCTGCATGATTGGTGGATGAGTTGGAGGTTAAACTTGTTTTTTTATTTACAAGTTACTGACCAGAGCTAGGCATGGTGGTGCACACCTGTCATCCCAGTACTCAGGAGGCTGAGTCAGGAGGATCGCTGTGAGTGTGACCCTGTTTCAAAAAAAAAAAAAAAAATAGAAGTCACTGACCAGCGGTGACAGCCCTCAGCCTGACAGGAAGGAATGTTTTCCGGAGTGTGTCTTTCCTTACACCCCAGACCGCAGTGGGCCACCGGGACCTGCAGAAAGGATTTCTTTTAATCCACCTTCCTCCTGGCTGCAGCCGCAGAAGGAACTTGAAATCCCCGCGACAGCCAAGCCGACTCCAGCACTTACCCCGCCCCGCCAGGGGATTCAGCTTCTGATGGATTCTGGGTCTGACTTGGGCTTTTTCCAAATCCAAGACTTGAAGAATTTTGTTAACAGCGCAATAAAAATAACTTCATGGTGTTGCAGGAATCACACTGAAGACAGGGTGTGTGTGTGTGTGTGTGTGTGTGTGTGTGCTGCAGCATGAGCTGTCTTGCTCTGTAGCAGAACACAGACCATGTTTCTTTAAAGGTCCAGCTGCGATTCCCATTACTGCGCATATAATGTTTGGGAGGCAGCAGGCTGAGAGGGAGGGACCCGCACGGCGACCCCGCCCTCTCCTCTCATGTTTCACTGCAGAAATTTGTCACCCTCTCCCACTGCAGGACTTAAAAGTCCCAGCGCCAGGCCCAGCAGCCGCTGCTCTGGGCTCTGAGAGGCAGCGGCCGCCCTGGGCCAGGATGGTGACCACGTGTGGCGGCCTCCTCCATAGACAGTAGCGGGCCGGCGTGTCGGGGTGCGGGAGGCACCCTGACCTCGTGGGTGCACACGCGCACGCGGGCTCTGAGGACAGACTGTCTTGGTTTGGGTTTTGGTTTTGGCTCCTGGGGTGGAGCGTTTTCCCTTCCCATCTGGCTGGCTTCTTTTTGACTTTGCATTCTTTAACATCGGACCCCAAGCAGTGCAGCGTGAGCCCTGGTGTGGGCAGCGGAGCCCATGGACCCC